TTTGTTTACTGGGAAACCTGGACAATGTCCCGATTGAAACATCTTTGGGTCATGTTGTTCTGACTGCCATATGCATCGCTAAGAAAACTATCCTCTTGAATTGGAAAAATAGAGAAACTGCATTAACCAGTATAGAAATCTTTTGTTAAATCATATTGCACTTGATATAGCCTCTGCTTCCACTTCAAATCAATCTCTATGGGCTCCTTTGATCAGTTCCATCACATAGCGATGATGGGGGACCATTGATATTGTCCTGCAGGATGATGAGGGTGAGGGGGTGGAGGGTCTGAGTTTGGAGTATCCGGATGTTCCCTGGAGGTGGGTTCACAGGGGTGTCTGGGACCGGGGGGCTGTTGACGGAGGTGCTTGGGTTGCCTCGGGGGTGGACTAGAAGAAGAAGAAGAAGAAGAAGAAGAAGAAAATATCATTTCAATAGCGCCTCTCAAGATAAAAATCACGAGGCGCTTCACAAAAACAACAAAAAAAAGTTAAAATATGAAAAAGCATTTAGAAAATGTTTAAAAATATATTTAAAATGAGCAAAAATAGACGATTGGGATTTAAAAGAAAAAATGTTAAGAAAGAGAGAGAGAGTGAACAGGAAAGAGGGAAATCAGTGGATCCTGAGGAAGGTGGAATAGGTGGGGAGAGCAGAATAAAGAGAGAGTGGTTGAAGAAGGTCATACAAAAGCCAGCTTGAACAAGTGAGTCTTCAGCTGCTTTTTAAAGGAGACCACTGAGTCCACTGATCTCAGGCTCAGGCGGGGAGAGTTCCAGAGTCTGGAGGACACAGCAGCAAATGATCTGTCTCCTTTGGTCTTTAGCCTGGTGCGTTGCACAACCGGTAGGCTTTGATCACTGGACCTCAGGGACCTGCTGGGGGTGTAGGGACTAAGAAGATCACCAATGTAAGATGGTGCTTGTCCATGTAAGGCCCTATAGACCAGAACCAGGATCTTGAAATGAACCCTGAAGTTGACTGGCAGCCAGTGAAGCTGGAGGAGAAGTGGGGTGATGTGGGTGTGTTTGGAGGACTTGGTCAGAAGCCTAGCACAGGCATTCTGAACCACCTGTAGATGGTTCAGGGAGGTTCTGCTCAGACACGTGAAAAGAGAGTTACAGTAGTCTAAGCGTGAGGAGATGAAGGTGTGGATAACTGTCTCAAGTTCAGAGCGAGACAGAATGGGACTCAGCTTAGCAATGTTCCTGAGATGGAAGAAGGAAGAGCGATCAAGAGAACTGACATGAGAATCCAGGATGAGAGCTGGGTCAAAGGTCACGCCAAGATTCCTGACAGAAGGTTTGGTGTGGGAAGCAAGCTGACCAAGAGAGTCTCTGACGTTGGGAACCAGCTTGTCTGGGGCACAGATGAGGATCTCAGTCTTATCTTCATTCAGCTGAAGAAAGCTCCCAGCCATCCAGGTTTTGATAGAGTATAAGCACTACTGGCAGTTGTGAGTGGGGCCCCTTGGGGGTCTTGGCGGTGGCCATGGGTGACTGCCTGGCAGCTGCATTGCCCCCGGGCGGGTCTCGGTGGGGGCCTAGGGGCTCGGGGTGTGGGGGTGGCCGGCTCCGTGTGGGGATCTGGGCGGGGCCTTGGGGGTTGGGTCCTGACATGTATGCTGCCGGGAAGAAGGCAGGAACATGCAGCAGTGCCTGGCCCGGGTTCAGGGGCATCAGGTAGGCCTTGGCTCCTCTGCTGTCCCATCACAGGGGAGGGGGAGGTCCAGGAGGGGGATGACCCAACCTTACCTGGATGTCCTATGTCTTATACAGTCTGAAAGTTGTGCAAATGCAGGGATGGGCGTAGATATTCTGCTGGGATGAGGCTGGGCTGGTGCCCTCGGACTCCGTGAGGCTCTGCAATGCTGCTACTTTGGGCCCTGGCAAGATGGGCTGGGGTTTCCATGCCCTGGGTGGCATTTTAACAACAGGGGTGCCTACTGGGGCCAGTGGGAGAGCGGGCTCCCTGGAGGGCTAAGCCCAACCAGCCATTCCTCCCCATCCCTGCATATTTTTCTCCTCCTGCTCCCTCACATCATCACACAAACATGCACATAGGACCTTGGGGGGTAGACAAGTCAGGGAGTGTGGGTATGGACCCCATTTCCGCATTCCTGTGGTAGCCTGCCCCCCAATTTTATTTGCACCTTAAACACTTCCACCAACGACATTTCACGCAAACACACACTTAGGGCCTTGGGAGTGAGCACATTCAACGGCAGTTGGAGGGGGATTTCTCAGCCTCATCCAGAGTGCCGGTGCCCACTTCCAATTTTAAACTGCTCTTAGACACCGAGGGCTGTGGGTGCAAGTGGGGTGGTGCGGTGGCATCAGCTGGCATAGGCCAGACGATGCCCGCACTGCCCGCTCACCACAGCCATGGAATACACCTCATCAACACACTAACACTACATTGGAGCAGGTGGAGGGAGACTAGGGGTCTTAGCACACATCTCTTGTTGCTTGACTTCCTGGTGCTGGAGGCGAGGAGGGAGATCTGGCCGTCTGGTTGGGGTCTGGGGTGATGGGTTGCTGTGCTCAGCTTTGGGCGGGGGAGCCTGCTCATCAGCACCCCAGCAGAAAGGGTCAAACTCTGGTAACCGGTAATGGTTGTACCCCATGTGCAGCAGTACCGGGACCAGAGTGAATAGGGTGTGTATGGGGAGCATGAGTGGGTGTCCGGCATTCATTTTTGTAAGTCTTTGGTTGTACGTGTATGTGTGAGCATGAGGGAGGGAGTGTATGACTGTGTTTGTGTATGACTGTATCTGTCAGGAGGGGCCTTTGACTCCTCCCTTCTCCTGGGACTCCTTTTGATGATATAGTTCCTCGTCTCCTCTCCCCCTGCCACACCTGGTGTGGAGTGTGGTGCCTTGGTCTGCCTGAATGTTCGTGGCTCCCGGGTCAGGGAATTTAAGATTTTTGGCATCTGCCTGATAAATCCCGGTGGCTGTCTGGTGGGGTCTGGGTCCCTGCTCTCTGCATGGTCCCCGGCGGGGGTGGCCGCCCCTTGGTCCCGGGTCGCTGGGTCCCGGGCTCGGCCGGCTAGGGGTTGGGAGGCTGCGGGCAGGCCTGTGGGCTTGCCGCTGATATCTCCCGGGACTCTGCCGGCTGCTGGTTGTGGCCCCACGGGGTGATCCTCTTTGCCTCTCGGTGGGGGCAGAGGCCTTTCTGGTTGCAGTCTCCTTGGGGTTCCTGTGTTCTGGGGCAGCGCCTGGGTCTCTGGGACTTGGAGCTCCCTCCGTTTCCTACACATTTTTGGGGGGCAGATCTGTGGTCCCTCACACTCTATTGGACGCTTTTATAGAGAAAGGAGCGTGTGTACACACACAGGTGCTCACATGGTGCTCTCATAAGTATGGGCTTGGGCACATTCAACACATGTCTTAAGGCTGTCATTGCCACTAAATGCACTGTGATTTATTATCATGTGATTGTTCAGTTAAACAATGCTGATTGTATATTTCTTCAAGTTGACTCAGCGATAGCTTGCTCCTGTTGTTGTGTGTCCCTTTTTTTCTCTTCTTTCTCTTTCGGTAGGTCTAGAAGCAGACTCTTGTTCATTATTGTTTATTTTTGTGGAAACCTCCCCCACCCCCCCTAACCTCTCCCCATCTTGTGTCTCTTCCTTTCTCTTTCACCTCTGACTCAGTGTCTGGTCCGAATTACAAAGCATTTAAAAACAATAACAATAAAGTTATAAGTATCAGGCGTGACATTAAAAGCAGACGCTTTGATGCTCCACCTGAGAGTAAATCTGTAAGGCTTGTTACTAGCATTCAGACATCAATTTTGTTTGCTTCACAGCCAGACAGGACACGGGGAACAAAAAATTAAAAAAAAGCTATGTGTTCCTCTAAGGATCAATTATGACCCACATCACCAACACACACACATACGCACACACGCACGCACACACACACACACACACACACACGCACGCACGCACGCACGCACGCACGCACACACACACACACACACACACACACACACACACACACACACACACACACACACACACACACACACACACACACACGTGTTTTTATGGGTTTGTGTGGACTACGTTTTCTGAGTTTTTTGTCTGGACCCTGGCTTCCACTATAGCCAGAATGGTGCAAAAATTATGTTTAACTCTAGGTGGGACAAAGGAAGCTTCCTCTAGGATTTTGGTTGTGTGGACCGGGTAAATGTCCACACAACGGTGAATGTCCACACAATGTTGGTCTCCCGTCAGGGGTTGGTCCGAACAAACACATAAAGACAAGTGCACACACACACACACACACACACACACACACACACACACACACACACACACACACACACACACACACACACACACACACACACACACACACACACACACACACACACACACACACACACACACACACACACACACACACACAGTGTTGTTTATCATTGTTCATTTAATGGTTAAATAAAAGTTGGTTTTGTGGAAAAACAAATGTTACTTGTTGTCTTTATCCTACCATTTATCTATGTGGGTTTGTTTTGACCCGAAATACCAAAAATGTCACTATTGTTAATAATTTTAAATAGTAAAAAAAAAAAAAAGAATATTTTTTGGGTAGGTGTACTCTAATATTAGTTTATAACACATTTATAGTTTATTATTACTCATTCTATAAGAAAAAGAAATATATTTAGTGAATTTAAACAGTTTTTGCAGTCAAAAACGAGTGTTATATTTTAAAATACTGTGTCTGTGGAGCCAACTAATAAACAATTCACACACTGGTTCCATTTATATGACTAAGCCAGCAATTAGCTGAAAAACAACAGTTGAAGAAAACCGGTGATTTTAAGCCTTTTCAAGCATTTTTAAATCATGGGTCCAAATGGACTCGCTAACACCACAGGTGTAAACGGCTTTCTAACACAATACAAGGGTTCAATGATTTAGTTCATGTTTCTGTTTTAACCTGCATCCTGTTGGCTTCAGCTCTCTGCTTTTATTCTTTATTCAGGTTGAAGAGCTGCAGCTTGTCAGAGATCAGCTGTTCTTCTCTGGGCTCAGCTCTGATGTCCAACCCGTCCCATCTGACAGAACTGGACCTGAGTCACAACCACCTGTGTGGTTCTGTAGTGAAGGATCTCTGTGGTTTCCTGGAGAGTCCAGACTGTAGACTGGAGGTTCTGAGGTCAGTTCTCTGCAGCTGTTGAAGGTTTTTCTGTGTTTAACAAACTAAAATCATTCATTGATGCTTCAGAATTTATTTATTTACAAAAACTTTTTTACTCCAAACTTTCAATCTGAACTTTCATTTTTTTGGAACTTTTCAGTTTTTCCAAAAGTAAAAAATAAAAGTTTTTAGAAGAAAAACAAGTTTCTGTTCACCTACTGATGCAGGTTCAGTGAGGAATGGAAGTCTCTGAAGTCTTAATTGTACCTAATGGAGTCAGACATGGTGGAGTCTGTCTCCTGAACCTTGATGATGTGTCTGATGCACTGAATGAATGCTAGAGTGGACGCTTGGTGGGCCACCTTCTTGTAAGTGATTGAATGTCTGCAGGTGATCTAGTGGTCTGGTGTCCCTACAGTGCTGGCATGCAGCAGCTGCTCAGGGTCTTTTCTCTATGGTGAACAGTGTGACCTCATGTTTAACCCTGCAGCTAACGAGGACCAGAAGCTGAACTTTGCATCTTTTATTTAATGAACCAAGTCCTGGATGTGATGAGAAACGTCAAATATTTGGGTCCATTCTAAGAAGTGATGTGTGTGATGATGAGGATGTAAAGAGACAGTGCTGTGAGCTGTACATGCAGGCTAACACTCTGGTACAGTAACTGTAGCATGTGCTCAGACCACTTTAAAGTGACCCTTTGTCCTTCCTCTTGTACTTCTTTCTATACGGCCCACTTGTGCTGCAGCTCTAGTCAGGCTGTGATGAAGAAACTACAAGTGTCTTATCAGGATGCATGTTTAGGTATTTTCCACCGACAATACACAAAGTAAGTGGGGTTAGCACAACTCACCTGGACACCTTTTCCATCAGGCTGCAGCTCGGGCAGAACTTCAGTTCCTCCTGGTTCTTTTCTTCCCAGAGGAGGGTCGTCTAGAGCACACTTTACCTTACAACATCACTTTACCTTTACCACAGTAATACTTCAGTAATGACTATGAGGCAGTACTTCTCTTTAAACTTGGTTTCTGTAGAAAAAGTGACAAACAGAAGAGGATAAAGACTGGAAGTGAACAAGCATAGGAGGAGTAATAATGAAATCAAGTGAACACTTGGGATGGACTATAAACATAAGGATAAACTAGGGAGCAATAAAGAAAAACCAGAAGGATGGTCCGACTACTGGAATAAATCCATATAAAGACAAGGGAACACGGAACATAACACTGGAAGAGAAGATGGAAATGGGGAGGACAACTAAAGGATTGACTCTAAGGACACTAAATCATCTATTTACATTTAAAAGTTAAAAAAACTTTTACTGAATAAAATATTAAACGTCAGTTCATCATGTTTTTGTTTCTGACAAGAAAAGATCAGTCTTTATGCAGATGATGTTTTACTCTTTCTCCAGAATTCTCAATCGTCTCTCTCCCATTCAGTAGAACTGATAAACTCTTTTTCAAGAGTTTCATATTACTCTATAAAATAGTTAAAATCCACAGTTCTACCAATTAATTTCTGTTTTGTCAATTTACTTAATACACAATTGGAGTCAGGGAATATCACATACCTGGGAATTAATATCTCTCCCAAGTTAGCAGATCTAACCAAACTAAACTACATCCCATTTTTAAAGAAAGTGGAAGATGATCTTGCAAATGGAAATCCTTACCAATATCACTCATGGGGAGAGTTGCTACAATTAAAATGATGGCCTTACCCAGAATAAATTACTTATTTTCGATGATCCCAAACAAACCACCAGCTGACTGACTGGTTTAAATCTCTGGACTCCTCAATTACCAAATTCCTTTGGCAGGATAAACCTCCATGAATTAGCTTAAAAACACTTCAGAAGACCAAAGACAGAGGAGGACTGGATTTACCCAAGTTTTATTATTATTTCTTAGCCAACAGGCTGCAATAAATACCAAGAAGGTTGCAAGATAACCTACTAGATGAGTCCTGGTTAGATATAGAACAGACACTTTGCAATACGATAGAGCTTTCAGACTTACCATTTATTAGCTCAAGCATAAGAAAACATGAAGGCTTCAAAAGTATTAGTATCAGCACATCTGACAGTAAGTAAAAGTGTATTTATATTGCGCCTTTCACAGATATAAATCACAAAGCGCTGTACAACATGATAAAGATCAGGGCAAATACCTCTAACCAATAAAAACATCAGAAAAACAATAGCAGTGATAAACGTAGAAAATAAAATCATGAGTATAAACAAAGTGAAGGTGTGAACCCGAACAAAGCCATCTTTTTGAACATTTAGGGAGGGAACGCCTGGATGAAAAGGTGAGTTTTTAGATGATTTTTAAAGACCTCTACAGTGTTAGAGAGATGGAGATTTGAAGGCAGACTTTTCCAAAGTCTGGATGCAATAGTCTGAAAGGCCCTGTCCCCTTTGGTTTTCAGTCTGGTTCGAGGAACAGCCAGGAGGTTTTCAGATGTGGATCTAAGCTTCCGAGAGGTGGTGTGTGGGGATAAAAGCTCAGATAGGTAGCTTGGAGCCTGGTTGTTAAGAGCTCTATAGGTCAGGACTAAAACTTTAAACTGAATTCTATATTCTACCGGGAGCCAGTGGAGGGACTGTAAAACTGGAGTGATGTGAGCTTGTCTGCTGGATTTGGTTAGGAGTCTGGCTGCCGCATTGTGGATGGCTTGAAGGCGTGAGAGGGAGGTTTTGCTGAGACCAGTAAAAAGAGCGTTACAAAAGTCTAAGCGTGATGACACAAAGGCATGGATGATTTTTTCCAGATCTGCAGTAGTAGACAGCATGGTGGGAGTATCTAAAAATGACAGCGTCTTCACTAGTACCATGCAGACGCACACCTATCTGGAATAATCCTGATATTTTGCAAAATAACCAAATGATGAACCTTCCAGTGTCATGTTTGAGGGTAATTTCTTGACCCACGACATGAAGAATCACCACCGAGAGACAGAAGGTAAGTTTAAATGATTTATTTTGAATGGGAGAGGTAGACAAAGCTTCTGCAGGACTGGAGGGATCCGTGGGGTCTGAGAGAGGAAGAGAGGTCAGAGTCTGGAGCAACGTCAGACGATGGAGAAATAAAAAGGCTTACTGTTTCCTGGATGATCCGGTATTTTGTGGGGGGGTTAGTCAGACCTGGCTGGATGGGGAGACCGAGGAGCTGCAGGTGGATAGGTGGGTGACGGAGAGCTGGCGATCAGGGGCAAACAGCAGGACTGGAATGTGGTTGATGGTTCCGGAGATATAGCAGAGAGTGTAGATGAACAGATGACTGGAACCTGGAGGAATCAGGAGGGCAGAGCAGGTTACCTGCCAGAAGGGCAGGAACAGGCGGCCAAACAAATTCTAAAATTGTTTTTAGGAAGGTCAAAAGGAGGGCTAGAAACTACCCAAGACTGAGTATCATCTGGCAATGGTGAGATGTCCAGCTGCTCCTTAAATCCCCTGATCGCTGATGAGCTGATTTGGCACAGCTGGGCTCTCCAGACACACCCACCTGTAAACAACACTCAGCAGAGATGGTTACGCAGCACAGATCATGACATCCGGACTGGAAAAATGAAGGGATCCTATACCTGGAACACACACATGAAGAATTGGACTTCATCCCATTTAATCGAATAGTCTCCCAATTTGGAATAGATAAGAATAGCTTTTTAGAATATCACCAAATAAAATCTGTAGTCAAACAAAAATTTAAGCTCAATAAAATAGAATTACAAACACCACCAAGGGTATTTGACTTCTGTTATCTCAAACCCCCCAAAATACTGTCTAAAGTATATAAGACACTGTCCAAAATAGACGATAGAATAGTAATCCCTATTGAAAAATGGGAGGTGGATCTATCAGTCAGCTTTGACCAGAACTTCTGGTCTCAAACTTGTTTAAAAACATTTAAAATGATCAGACACTCCAATTTACAATTAATTCAGTACACAATTCTACACAGAGTACACTATACAGGTCATCGGATGTTCAAGATGGGTTTGTGTCGTCTGACACCTGTACACACTGCACAAACAACATTCCTGACAATTACATTCATGCACTGTGGTCCTGCCCACCTGTCCAAGAATTTTGGGGTAGAGTATGTGAGGATCTGGCAAAATGTCTGAAATGTCATATCCCAACCACCCCCTCTCTTTGTCTACTGGGAAACCTGGACAATGTCCCGATTGAAACATCTTTGGGTCATGTTGTTCTGACTGCCATATGCATCGCTAAGAAAACTATCCTCTTGAATTGGAAAAATAGAGAAACTCTCTGCATTAACCAGTATAGAAATCTTTTGTTAGATCATATTACACTTGATATAGCCTCTGCTTCCACTTCAAATCAATCTCTATGGGCTCCTTTGATCAGTTCCATCACATAGCGATGATGGGGGACCATTGATATTGTCCTGCAGGATGATGAGGGTGAGGGGGTGGAGGGTCTGAGTTTGGAGTATCCGGATGTTCCCTGGAGGTGGGTTCACTGGGGGTGTCTGGGACCGGGGGCTGTTGACGGAGGTGCTTGGGTTGCCTTGGAGGGTGTACTAGAAGAAGAAGAAGAAGAAGAAGAAGAAAATATCATTTCTATAGCGCCTCTCAAGATAAAAATCACGAGGTGCTTCACAAAAACAAAAAAAAGTAAAAGAATGAACAAGCATTTAGAAAATGTTTAAACATATATTTAAATGAGCAAAAATAGGCAATTGGGATTTAAAAGAAAAAATGTTAAGAAAGAGAGGGAGTGAACAGGAAAGAGGGAATCAGTGGATCCTGAGGAAGGTGGAATAGGTGGGGAGAGCAGAATAAAGAGAGAGAGGTGAAGAAGGTCATACAAAAGCCAGCTTGAACAAGTGAGTCTTCAGCTGCTTTTTAAAGGAGACCACTGAGTCCACTGATCTCAGGCTCAGGCGGAGAGAGTTCCAGAGTCTGGGGGCCACAGCAGCAGATGATCTGTCACCTTTGGTCTTTAGCCTGGTGCTGCACAACCAGTAGGCTTTGATCACTGGACCTCAGGGACCTGCTGGGGATGTAGGGACTAAGAAGATCACACACACACACACACACACACACACACACACACACACACACACACACACACACACACACACACACACACACACACACACACACACACACACACACACACACACACACACACACACAGTGTTGTTTATCATTGTTCATTTAATGGTTAAATAAAAGTTGGTTTTGTGGAAAAACAAATGTTACTTGTTGTCTTTATCCTACCATTTATCTATGTGGGTTTGTTTTGACCCGAAATACCAAAAATGTCACTATTGTTAATAATTTTAAATAGTAAAAAAAAAAAAGATACGTTTTTTTTTGGGTAGGTGTAATCTATTATATTAGTTTATAACACATTCATAGTTTATTATTACTCATTCTATAAGAAAAATAAATATATTTAGTGAATTTAAACAGTTTTTGCAGTCAAAAACGAGTGTTATATTTTAAAATACTGTGTCTGTGGAACCAACTAAAAAACAATTCACACACTGGTTCCATTTATATGACTAAGCCAGCAATTAGCTGAAAAACAACAGTTGAAGAAAACCGGTGATTTTAAGCCTTTTGAAGCATTTTTAAATCATGGGTCCAAATGGACTCGCTAACACCACAGGTGTAAACGGCTTTCTAACACAATACAAGGGTTCAATGATCTAGTTCATGTTTCTGTTTTAACCTGCATCCTGTTGGCTTCAGCTCTCTGCTTTTATTCTTTATTCAGGTTGAAGAGCTGCAGCTTGTCAGAGATCAGCTTTTCTTCTCTGGGCTCAGCTCTGATGTCCAACCCGTCCCATCTGACAGAACTGGACCTGAGCGATAACCCCATGTCTGGTTCTGTAGTGAAGGATCTCTGTGGTTTCCTGGAGAGTCCAGACTGTAGACTGGAGGTTCTGAGGTCAGTTCTCTGCAGCTGTTGAAGGTTTTTCTGTGTTTAACAAACTAAAATCATTCATTGATGCTTCAGAATTTATTTATTTACAAAAACTTTTTTACTCCAAACTTTTAATCTGACCTTTTATTTTTTCGGAATTTTTCAGTTTTTCCAAAAGTAAAAATAAAAGTTTTTAGAAGAAAAACAAGTTTCTGTTCACCTACTGATGCAGGTTCAGTGAGGAATGGAAGTCTCTGAAGTCTTAATTGTACCTAATGGAGTCAGACATGGTGGAGTCTGTCTCCTGAACCTTGATGATGTGTCTGATGCACTGAATGAATGCTAGAGTGGACGCTTGGTGGGCCACCTTCTTGTAAGTGATTGAATGTCTGCAGGTGATCTAGTGGTCTGGTGTCCCTACAGTGCTGGCATGCAGCAGCTGCTCAGGGTCTTTTCTCTATGGTGAACAGTGTGACCTCATGTTTAACCCTGCAGCTAACGAGGACCAGAAGCTGAACTTTGCATCTTTTATTTAATGAACCAAGTCCTGGATGTGATGAGAAACGTCAAATATTTGGGTCCATTCTAAGAAGTGATGTGTGTGATGATGAGGATGTAAAGAGACAGTGCTGTGAGCTGTACATGCAGGCTAACACTCTGGTACAGTAACTGTAGCATGTGCTCAGACCACTTTAAAGTGACCCTTTGTCCTTCCTCTTGTACTTCTTTCTATACGGCCCACTTGTGCTGCAGCTCTAGTCAGGCTGTGATGAAGAAACTACAAGTGTCTTATCAGGATGCATGTTTAGGTCTTTTCCACCGACAATACACAAAGTAAGTGGGGTTAGCACAACTCACCTGGACACCTTTTCCATCAGGCTGCAGCTCGGGCAGAACTTCAGTTCCTCCTGGTTCTTTTCTTCCCAGAGGAGGGTCGTCTAGAGCACACTTTACCTTACAGCGTCACTTTATCTTTACCACAGTAATACTTCAGTAATGACTATGAGGCAGTACTTCTCTTTAAACTTGGTTTCTGTATAAAAAGTGACAAACTGAAGATGATAAAGACTGGAAGTGAACAAGTATAGGAGGAGTAATAATGAAATCAAGTGAACACTTGGGATGGACTATAAACATAAGGATAAACTAGGGAGCAATAAAGAAAAACCAGAAGGATGGTCCGACTACTGGAATAAATCCATATAAAGACAAGGGAACACGGAACATAACACTGGAAGAGAAGATGGAAATGGGGAGGACAACTAAAGGATTGACTCTAAGGACACTAAATCATCTATTTACATTTAAAAGTTAAAAAAAAACTTTTACTGAATAAAATATTAAACGTCAGTTCATCATGTTTTCGTTTCTGACAAGAAAAGATCAGTCTTTATGCAGATGATGTTTTACTCTTTCTCCGGAATTCTCAATCCTCTCTCTCCCATTCAGTAGAACTGATAAACTCTTTTTCAAGAGTTTCAGATTACTCTATAAACTGGTTAAAATCCACAGTTCTACCAATTAATTTCTCTTTTGTCAATTTGCTTAATACACAATTGGAGTCAGGGAATATCATTTACCTGGGAATTAATATCTCTCCCAAGTTGGCAGATCTAACCAAACTAAACTACATCCCACTTTTAAAGAAAGTGGAAGATGATCTTGCAAATGGAAATCCTTACCGATATCACTCATGGGGAGAGTTGCTACAATTAAAATGATGGTCTTACCCAGAATAAATTACTTATTTTCGATGATCCCAAACAAACCACCAGCTGACTGGTTTAAATCTCTGGACTCCTCAATTACCAAATTCCTTTGGCAGGATAAACCTCCACGAATTAGCTTAAAAACACTTCAGAAGACCAAAGACAAAGGAGGACTGGATTTACCCAACTTTTATTATCATTTCTTAGCCAACAGGCTGCAATATATACCAAGATGGTTGCAAGATAACCCATTAGATGAGTCCTGGTTAGACATAGAACAGACACTTTGCAATACGATAGAGCTTTCAGACTTACCATTTATTAGCTCAAGCATAAGAAAACATGAAAGCTTCAAAAGTATTAGTATCAGCACCTCTCTGACAGTAAGTAAGTAAAAGTTTATTTATACAGCGCCTTTCACAGATATAAATCACAAAGCGCTGTACAACATGATAAAGATCAGGGCAAATACCTCTAACCAATAAAAACATCAGAAAAACAATAGCAGTGACAAACGTAGAAAATAAAGATGGAAATGGGGAGGACAACTAAAGGATTGACTCTAAGGACACTAAATCATCTATTTACATTTAAACGTTAAAAAACTTTTACTGAATAAAATATTAAACGTCAGTTCATCATGTTTTTGTTTCTGACATGATAAAATAATTTAATTTATTTCAATGATTTAGTTCATGTTTCTGTTTTAACCTGCATCCTGTTGGCTTCAGCTCTCTGCTCTTATTCTTTATTCAGGTTGGTGAAAGGTGGGTTGTCAGAGATCAGCTGGTCTTCTCTGGGCTCAGCTCTGAAGTCCAACCCGTCCCATCTGACAAAACTGGACCTGAGAGGGAATGACCTGAAGGCTCCAGATTTTAAACAGCTGCTGGGTCTTGTGGAGAGTCCAGACTACAAGCTGCAGACTCTGAGGTCAGTATCTGGGTAGAGTGAGTCAAGGCTGCTGTCAGCAGGACTGGACCAAACCCAGTTAGCATCAAAGCAAAGATCCAGTGTTTCCAGTAAAGCTGCAGCTTCCCAGTGGCTTTGAGAGGAGACCGATGACAGAGTTCATGATTGGACACCTAGGAGCCAATCAGAAGAGCTAGAAGCTTGTTGTGCTGGTTGCTTCCACGTGTCTAGAGACAGTGGTCCTCATCCATCAGATCTGATCTCAGACTGCTGGTTGTCTCGTTTCTACAGGAAACAGCTGATCACTGATCTGTGTCACAGATCTGAGATCAGTCTGACTGCAGCCTGTAAATCACTGGCTCTGGTTTCATACAGCAGGCTTCTATTTAGGATCCATGTGGTCTTTCTACAGAGCAGAACCTCTGCTTAAATCCACTCAGCACATCTGTCCAGCTGTCCTCCTGTCATTAGTCTGATCCAGATGTGTTCAGGGACAGCCTCCATGTCTCTGACTCAGAAGCAGATGAGTTAATGTGTTTAGATGTAGCAGCAGTAAAGCATCATTACATGTTTGTGTAGTAATGAAGCCTTCAGGACTCTCAGCTGTTTGTTTCCTCTGGAGTCACACCTGCAGAGGAAACACACCTGCAGAGGAAACACACCTGCTGTCATGGTGGGTGGCAATTTCTTGACCCACGACATGCAGAATCACTTCACAGAAAACCGGTAAGTGTGTAAAAGGTTTTATTATGATTGAGGAGCTAAGGGAGAGATGGGAACCGAAGAAGCGCAGGACTGGTAGCAGGATTCCAGGAGGAGATTCTGAGGAGGGAGACAGAGTGAATATAGGGTGGAAATAATGGAGTCTTATCTGGAGGCTGGGCTTACGGTCTCCTGGTAGTGGAGAAATGTACTGGGAGGGTTTGGTCAGGTCCGGGTGAGCTTGAGGAGATCCAGAAGGTGAGGGAATTGATTTATCCAGAGGCGTAGGAGCAGGAATGGATGATGGCAGGTGAGGGGCTGAGAGCGGGCGGCCAGGGGAGGAAGCAGTGTGGTCTGGAATGCTGAGATCCAGGTTTGTTCTGGAGACGAGGAAAAATGAAGAGGAACCTAGAGGAGAGCAGGGAAGGGCGTTCAGGTATTTCAGGCGGCAGGTTAACTAGAACGAGATATGAATACAAAATCAGGTTAGAGGCTAGAGCTACCCAAACAGAATAATCATCCGGCGTGGTGAAGTGTCACACCGCTCCTTAAATCCCCTGGGCCTTGATGATGGAATCAGCTGCAGCTGGAAGCTCTCAGACACGCCCACCTGTGAAACAATGCTCAGAGGGGAAAACAGGGTTACAGGCAGGCAGCTCACCACGGACCATGACACCTGCAGAGGAAACACACCTCTAGAGGTAACACACATGCAGAGGAAACACACCTCTAGAGGTAACACACCTGCAGAGGAAACACACCTCTAGAGGTAACACACCTGCAGAGGAAACACACCTCTAGAGGTAACACACCTGCAGAAGAAACACACCTGCAGAGGAAACACACCTCTAGAGGTAACACACCTGCAGAGGAAACACACCTGCAGAGGTAACACACCTGCAGAGGAAACACACCTGCAGAGGTAACACACCTGCAGAGGAAACACACCTGCAGAGGAAACACACCTCTAGAGGTAACACACCTGCAGAGGTAACACACCTGCAGAGGAAACACACCTGCAGAGGAAACACACCTCTAGAGGTAACACACCTGCAGAGGAAACACACCTGCAGAGGAAACACACCTGCAGAGGTAACACACCTGCAGAGGAAACACACCTGCAGAGGTAACACACCTCTAGAGGTAACACACCTGCAGAGGAAACACACCTGCAGAGGTAACACACCTGCAGAGGAAACACACCTGCAGAGGTAACACACCTGCAGAGGAAACACACCTGCAGAGGTAACACACCTGCAGAGGAAACACACCTGCAGAGGAAACACACCATACCAACTTGTTTATGAAGCATGATTTAAAAATAGCACGGCAGCTAACCAAAGTGCTGTACATAAAGGAGCCAAATGCTCGAGCATTCCAGCAAAACAAAGTAAAAACATGGAAATCAGGTAAAATACATAAAGACAGCTTAAATAATAAAGGATATAAATTCCAGAATAAGAGAACAGGTAAAAGGTAACAGCACTATCCAAAGTAAAGCGGAGATAGTGGAATTTTGGGGATACAGTCTGTGCTGGAGCGGGTGAACCAGGCAGTGACACGGCGGCCCAAAGTAAGCGCAGCCCGGAAAGCTCCGCTCGGCAGCACAGTCTCCGACGCTCCGGTGTCGGCGCGCGGAGGAAGTGGTGGTGCCGAAAACAAGAGCGGTTATGTAAGGCTGGCAAACATCTCAACCTTCAGATGGAGACAGCCGAGCAGCGCGGGGCAGCTCGTAGGGGGCGGGCGTATTACGTGAACAGACCCATCTGATTGGCCGCTTATCAGAAGGGCTACATTTGATTGGTCAAATAAAACAGAGCTGGTTTACAAAAAGTTGATGTATGACACGGATGGAAATGTTTGAACCAAACATTTATCGCCATTTTTGACATGCTTCGTGATGGGCCTATCGCACGTCCTGTTATCGCAATGACGATAATTTTTCGATATATTGTGCAGCCCTACTGAACAGGAAATTCAAAATTACTGGGCAAACAATTTGGAATGAACAATTTAAATTTTGAACTGTAACGCATCTATTCTTAAAAAAGAGTGAACCTTGGTATCTAAGACCATTTATTTTTGTTTTAGCAAAAATAATTATTCATTGTGTTAGGTAATTTTTATATTACTCCCATATTACCTCAAAGAAAGTCAAATAACACACAGAGGGATTAGATTGATAATTTGTATTTTCCATGACCCTTGAACCTGAAATAAACACACATACTCAAAGAGGATTCATTTTACACTGCGGTGCCAAACAGTGGAGAGAAGACGCAGGGACAACCCCCTCCGGAGCTGTTCCCAAGTCTCTCTGTTACTCCTCAGTTTCACAGGGGTTTTATTGGCAACCAGGACAGAGAAGGTGGGCCTTCTCAAGTTACAGACTTACAGGCTCTTCATCTCCCAGGACGCCACATTCCAGAGATAACAGAGATAACAATGACCTTACAGGAGCTGACGTTTTTTAAGACTCGATAACAGTAAGCTTTACAGAAGAGCGCAGACGTTCTTTAAAACTCAAAAAGGAACATATAGAAAATACCCAACATTCCCCCCGAATGTAACTTTTTGAGCAAGAAAAGATAAAACAATAAAAATAAACTCATTGTCAAAAAACCTGAGGAAGAATTATGACACACCCTACCCGCCTGGAATTTGGAATGTTCAATCAATGCAAGGATTTTAACTTAACAATAGTCCAGACACTTAAGCCCACATATTATCTTTGTGTCCCACCAGTCATCATCAGAATGATCATTAAACCCACCATGAACCTGAAAGATGAAAAATGCATATCTTAAAACACAGAAAAAGATTAAATTTTAAGGTGAGGATTTGGACACTTGCGAATCTCCATGAATTACTTAGAAGCTGGGTCCCCCTGTACTCGGTGTGTGACCTCCGCATCACACCTCCAGCCCAGGTGTGATACACTGTAATGGGTCTTGGTCACAGACTGTGTGCTCAGATCTTGCATCTTCCCACAGGCGCGTAGATGCAGGGTGGAGGAACTTGTTGTTGCATGGTGGTGATGCCACCTGATTTTGAGTCAACTTCTGAGCCGACTGATCCACAACAGGTCTGTGGTTTTACATCAGCTCAGTCCTTCTGGTCCCCTCCATCCTGGACTGCAGGTCATCGATCTCCACCTCCTCGTAACTTTCACAGCTACTCCACAGAGGAACTCAGACCCCTTCTTCTGTGATCTCTGATTTACATCGTCACTTTTCTCCTGAGTCCAAGCCATTCATGCATACAGAGAGCATGGAAGCTGCACACAGTGTCATTCAGGGTCATTTGCAATCAGTGTGAGTAGCAGAGCATGAAGCTACTTTCCTGGTTGTTGGAAGGTGAGCGGAGGTCCATGGGGGTGCATAGTTCCTTGTTTTCCATGTCTTTTGATGTTCCCAGGCCTGTTGTCTTTGTCACCTGTAAATCAAGTTCTGTCAGTACTTTACAAAGTGACAGATGAAGTCACCAGGGGTGCTCAGCAGGGGTGAAAGATGCCCCCAGCCCCCTGGGGCTTGTCCAGTTTGCTTTGTGAACACCTTCATGAATCCCCATGTTTAACCTCTGTTGCTGTTCCTAAAACACAAGTTGAACAGAGCAAACCATTTGCTCCCAAAACGTCCCTCAATTTACAACAGCATATGCTGTGGGAGTTCTTTTCTAAAGCTAAATTGATGTCTGTTTAGCATGAAACAAGTCAGTAAGGTTTGTCATAACTCATTTCAAACAGAAATAACCCCTTATTTGTTGACAAGACTCATTTGTTAGGAAAGTTCCAAAGTTGTGAATGATCTAAACACCAAGCTAGAGAAACCATTACAAAATCACTAGTCAGGACATCATGCATGTGTCTCTAACTGCTTAAGGATAAGGTGTGACTTAAGGTTAGACAAAACATTTAAACAACAGTCACAATAAAAGCCTATCTATTTACAAGCATACAAAGAGATGAGCTCACACACCCAGATAAACCCCCCCCCCACACAATTCCTCAGAACCAGCTGACCGGGGTAACCTAATCAACAGATTGTTGGACCTTCATCTTGTCTCAGGAAGTTACAGATAACAGGTGGGTGATCAAAGAGGTCTTTCTTCACCACTCTAAGATGTGATCAAAGTTGAGGACCCTCCATTTAAACAAACACCTACACTGTTACATCAATAACCCTGTGACCCACTTCTTTCCTATATATGCACTAGCTCAGCGCTTAACACCTCAGCTCCACACACACACACAGAGACAGACAGACAGACAGACATATAGACAGACAGATAGACAGAGCTGGTTCAAAGCTTCAGAACGG